ACTGTTTCATATTAAAACTAATCTTTCCTTATGTACTGCTTAAATATACCTGTTTTGGGATATCAGTTCAGTACTTTTTATACAATCTTGAATGTGTTCCACATTGGTGACATGTATTTTTGCAACAACTTTTTTGTTTTGATTTTAAATTAGAGCATGTCTGATGTAATACATGCATTAGTGCTGTGGTGTGTGACAAAGTTAATGTATGTAATTCAAATTGGAAAAGTTTCCAGACTTTGTCCAACATTAACCCTGTGGCCAGGGATTAAATTACTATGTAATACAAATTATTTCATACCATGATGTGTTTTAAGCTACTCTATGAAGTATGTGAAACATTATTGTTTATGGATTGGTAGCTGGTGAGGTGTCTTGCATAGAATGAGGTATGATAGATGGTAGCAGTTAATAATTAAAACTGAGTACCTTTCAGAACACACAGCACTGATATGCATTATCATCTTGTTGCCATTACTTAATATGAATTTCTTAATATTATCCACTGATAAATGGGTGAACATTTGGTAATCAGCTCTTGTCTGTGAAAATTCTATTCTAGCACTCTTTACTTGTTTTACAAAACATATAATTTTTTGTTTGTTTAGAAGGCATATAATTTTTTTTGTCAATTGGATGTAATTAGATATATGCAGGAGGATGTAGAACTGGATGTATTTTAAAGTTATTCTGCACTTGCTAAGTTTTGGCAGAAGCTTTCTATATTAGAATAGACTCTTCCCTAAAATTGGAAACTAAGTGTACTTAGCAGAACTCTTTATGGCAATATAACTATCCTACACTACATCTTGAGTTATGCACATTCACTTCTTTATGTGGAAGTGATAACTTCTGCTTTATATAGAAGAAAAGAAAGGTCGCTTTGGTGGCCTAGTGCTGTGTGTCATCAGTTCTGGGGTAATTAGTTCTGAGTGGTGTTCAGCCTCTCAGAGGTGCTGCCTCTAGCAGAAAGTTTTCAGTGTCACCCTTTGTCTCCTGGTTTAGAAATGGCTTATCCCAGCACCACGGGGAATAACTCTTTCTTCATTGTTTACCATACATAATTTTCCTTTTCATGTTCAAAGAAACTGTTTCAAAATAATTTTTTGATCCAACCCCACCTTTTTCCTTGGAGATTTGTGCATTGTATTTCAGGAATGCTGTACTGGAGACGTTCTGGGATTGGAGTTATGAGAGTTGTCTGTTCCTGGGCACTCATCTTTTCCTCTACAGAATGGTCTAAATCTGAGCTTCTTATAACTTAAGGAGGGCAAGCTCTTAATGTATTATTTTTTATTTTTGTTTTTATTTCTTAATAGTTTATTTTCTTTCTGAAATGTGAAATAATACAAAGTTGTAGGGATTTTTATTCAAAACTTGGTCTTTCCTCCAAGCTTGTGTTTGTGGCCTTTAGAGCAGGCACTGTGGTCTTTAGGGCCTTCTGACTTGGAATTTTTTGTCCACCTTCTCCTTTTAGAGTTAAAAGTGAGTAGAAAAAGGCAAGTTACCAATCTACTGCCATCCAAACAATGCAAAATATAAGCTGATTAAGATTGTTGACTTTTTTTTTTTTTTGTTAATAATGATGTGATATTTTTACCTTTTAGAAGAACATATATCAGAATCTGATTCAAGTGTTCTTGGAAAATGTATATGGTAGGCTTTGTCCAGCACTGTATGTAACTTTGTTGCTTTCTGTTGTCTAGTTTCAATTTCTTTTAAAATAAAGATAATTTTTGTGGGGAAGTTGCCTGTGGACTTTCTGAAGATGAAGTAATGCCTAGATGGATGCTTCTCATATTCTGCCTGTGAGAAGGCATTTGGATTGAGTGTAATCCTACAAGAAGCAGCATGAGGTCATATGGATCACAGAATACAGCTCCTGCCTCTCTTGGAGAGCTCCACTGTTCTGTAAAATGTTCATCTGCAGTGACTTAAAGCACATGGGAAAAGATCTTGTGCCTTCAGCCCTATTTCTTCACAGGATGGGAAGGAAGGCTTAAGCACCATTTGTCCAAATAGATTTTTTTAAAATAACTTTCTGCACTTGGAAAGTGATTATTCAAAGAATTATTTATTCCAGTTTATAAAATTACTACTAGGCTCTTCCTGTTAGTTAAAATGCCAGAATTAACACATACTAACTCACTGTTTTACCAATAATTTTTAAAAGTAACTGATATAGGTCCCAAGCTACACATGCAGAACAGTTTGTTGGAATAAACAGTGTCATAAAATGTTTTCTGCTTTTTGTTAAAAATACGGAGACATGAGAGAGAATTTAGAAAGGATGTGAGAAAAGGTTGATAATTAAAGGTAAGAAAATGTAAACTATCTAAAGGAATTTTTTTTCTCCCATATAGTAAAACTTATGAAGCCATTAGAAGTGAAATGATCCCAGAAAAGATATATGTATGTATAGGCAGCTGGAAGATGCAGAATATGAATAATATTATTAAGGTTTGTCTTGAACATAAATCTGCATCCTTCATGGCACAGGAGATGGGAATTTAGGAATCAGCTTTTCAATGGAAAAATCTATCTTCTTTCACTGCAAACTTTTCACTGCAGACTTTTGACTGAAAGTTAGTGCCAGCAGAAGAACCACACTGCCTGAGCATCTCTTGTTCAGTTTTCAAGTGTGTCACAGTGAGAGCACAGCAGCTTGTCCAGGTAAGGCTGTGGGCTGGGTAGGACAGAGGTGGTGGTTCTGCACATACACATCAATTCAAAACCTTTAAGGTTGATCCAAGACCTTGCTGAATCCCTTTTGTGTTCTTTAGCAGCTAAATCTGCTATTTTGACATAAAAACATGTTAGTGATATTTACTGTCTCTCCTACAAGCCTTGCTTTGCAGATTGAGGTTTTAAGTAAATAGACATTTTCGTTGATGTATGGGAGCTCTTTTTTGTGTAATTTGAGAAGACTAAATACTGGTAACCATAACTGTGTCTTGTAAAGCATGTATGCATAATACAGTTCTTCTAGCAGGAATAAATAATAAGCTGCTTCATTTCAGTATATTCTCTGTGATTAAACTAAAAATGACACCTGGGTGACCAAGGCAGAAGACCTGCACTCAAAACCTCTGACTTGCTGGAAGACTGCAGCTGGAGTGGTAGGAGATTTTGAGTTACTACATTATAATCATTCTTGTCACTGTCACATTTTCTGAAAAATCCCTTTGCCAGGATTTCTTCTCCTGGGAAGATGAGAAGCCTCAGAGAAAAAACAATATTATCTCATTTACTTCTCCCTGGTTTACTGCTTTGGAATGTGGCTGGAGATTGTTTACCAACATGTGCATATTTGATTGGTTTCATGTGAATTGTTTTTACTTAATGACCAATCACCATCCGCTGGGTTGGACTCTGAGGAGTCAGTCACGAGGTTTTCATCATCATTCTTGTTAAGCTTTCTGTCTGTATCCTTTCTCTTTCTTTAGTATAATTTTAGTATAGCATTCTTTTAATATAAGTACATAAAATAATAAATCATCCTTCTGAGAACATGGAGTCAGATTCCCCATCTCTCACCTCATCCTGGGGACCCCAGCAATCTCAACACATTCTAGCTGCTATGCTGCTATCTACTTTGAATGTTCTTGGAAAGAGGAATTTAATTCAATTATCAGATTCCAGTCCATGCAAGGATTCTTCCAGATGATATTGATGTGGGTGAGTGAGGATGCAGAATAACCTAGAAGTCATATGAGTTATGATAGATTTCTTGCTCAAAAAAAAGTTATAAATCTCTGCAATACCTACTTTTATATATAAACAGTACTTCTAAGTAACCTCTACTATTTTAATATTGCTGTGTATTATGTGTAATAGAACATAAAAATTAAATCTTAACATAAAAATTAAATCTTAAGTGATACACATTACAAATACTAGCTAATGTGAACCATGTTAAACTCCACTACTCTTGGTCTCATTTTAAAAGAAAGAAGGAAAACTAGGTTTTTTGTTTATGGATTTTTTTCTAATATTTCTAGGTAATTGTATACTTTTGAGGAACTTAAACATACCTGAATTTTTATCCAGCTGTGTTTGGCTCATCTTTCAGGCTGTTGTCTCCAGAAGCAGTTGCTTTCAATATACTAGACTTTATTTTGGCAGATACAGTGTTACAGTTTGTTTGAGAAACATGGAGTGGTAATGTGCAAATTACCTCCTGAGTTTTTGGCAGAGACAGTGCAGCAGACAATATTGCTCAGCAATAGCGTGGGGCTGCTATGTGACCCAGTTATTTTTAGGGGACATGTGGAAGTTTCAGTGCCAGCATTGCCAGGGTAGGTCAGGGAAGGTGATCCTGCCCTCTGCTGAGCCGTGGGGAGGCCACTCTTGGAGTATTTCAGTTTTTGGCTCCTCGCTACTGCAGACATGGAGATCCTGGAGCAGGTCCAGCACAGAGCTACCGAGTTCTTTCGAGGGTCTGGAGAATCTCTCGCAAGAACAGGCTGAGGGAGCTGGGCCCGTGTAGCCTCCAGGAGAGGTGGCTGGGAAGGGATCTCAGCAATGTGTGAATGTCTGAAGGGAGCTGCCAGGGCATGGAGCCAGGCTCTTCTCAGCGGTGCTGAGCAATTCAACAAGAGGCAACAGGCAGAAACTGATGCTCAGGAAGTTCTGCCTGAGCTGAGGGAGAACTTCTCTGTGGGTACGGGCTGCCCAGAGAGCCTGTGGAGTCTTCCTCACTGGAGATATTCCAGACCTATCTGGACACAATCCTGTGCTCTGGGGTGACCCTACTTGAACAGGGAGGCTGGACCAGATGGCTTTTTGGTAAAAACTAACGTTTGATAGTTTTTGTCAGCAGTTTGTCTCTTTCTAGAAATGTACGTGGATGACACGAGCTGCGTTCCTGCCTGCCCTGCGGAGCTGCGAGCGCCGGCAGCCGGAGCGGTGCCCGCGGCCCTCAGGCCCGGGGGACTACAGCTCCCGGCGTGCGCCGCGGGGCCGAGCGGGAGCGGCCCGGAGCTGCTCGGGCCGCGGCGATGCCGGTGTGGCTGCGGGAGCACAGCTGGCGCCAGAGCCTCACCGCCGTGTACCTCTCGCTGCCCCTGCGCGGCGCCCGGGCCACCGCCGCCAACATCTTCTGCAGCGAGCAGTACCTGAAGGTGGGAGCCGCTCGCCTCACGGGCCTCCTGCCGCGGGGTGACTCCGGAACCCTGCTCAGCGTGCCGTGCACCATGGCAACCTTTCAAATGCAGAGCCCTTTATCTTTTATCGTCTCTTTATGACAGTACCCTTTATCTTTTATCATCTCCCTCTGTCTGCTGCGGGCTGTTAAACGCCCGTCCTGCAGCAGATCATGGCTTTAGCGCTGCTCATTCCCCACTAATGCTCTTCCCATTCAACAGGTGCCGCCGCCTTTACTCTCATGCATGGGCTGAATTTATACACTTGCTTATACTGTGAATAATCCTAAATTTGAAATCTACGGCTTCTGTTGCAGTGCTGAAGAGCAGACTTTTCAATCTCATTAATTGAGTATTAATTACCTTGTGAAGGCCCACCCTTAATGGGAAGGAAGCACCTTCTCTGGGCTTCTACAAACCTCCACAGTGAATACAAAGCAAATTACTTCTGTCAAAAGTATCTGTCTCTTGAGGTTTACTGTATGCTTGTGCTCTGCTTTGAATATGTGAGAGTGAATTGAAAATAATAAATATTAGCACAGATTATGTTTTTGTAGGTAAGCATCCCTCCCTTTTTGTTTGAAGCCATTTTATATGCGCCTATTGATGACACAAACAGCACAGCAAAGATTGGAAATGGAAACATTTTCTTCACTTTGTATAAAAAAGAACCAGCCATGTGGGATTCCCTAACTCTAGCAAATGGTAAGTTTTCTACTCAGAAAACTAGATTGTGTCTGAGGAAACCATACTGAGAAACTTCTGCTAGTAGATATCTGCTCAGTTTGGCCTTGTTCATTATTAAAAATAGAAAGTATGTGAGAACAAAGAATATCTACTAGTTCTAGTGTGTGTGAAATAAAACAATATTTCTTGTGCAACTTTTTTGTGTTTAAAACATTTTGTGTTTAAGTAAATCTTAATTTTTCTCTTTTAGAGATGGGCTTGGTAGACCCTGGTTTGTTGAATTGTAGTTGTGTTGTATTTTGCCAAAGTAGCAGAAGAAATAATTTTCATTAACATGTTATATACTAATAGAACATCAGGCCTCAATGACTAAGATAGTTTCTTTTTTTAAGCTGACAAGGAGAAACTACAACATCTGAGAGAGAATGCTGTTCTAGAAGCCCAAGAAAAGGCAAAAGAGGAGACAAAAGCAAAAAAAATTACAAAACAGGAAAACAAAAAATATGCTTTGGAGGCTACAATGAAGGTAGGTTTAGAAGAAGCTCTGCAAGACATTCATGTGAACAGCTACCAACTAATCTGGCAGATGCTTCGTTAAATGTATGTTAAAGAATATGAAAAGTTCCAATTTTTATTGTAGTGGTGGTGAACTTTGTTATTATTTCTCTGCATTTAAACCTATTTATTACCAAATATGAAAATGTTACTGACAAAGTGCTTACAAGTTGCCACTTTCTGTGAGTAATACTAATGAAAGCTTTTGGTGACAAGCTCAGATTTATGTCTGTTCAAAGGAGACTACAGTCATGTGGCAAAACTGTAGTCTTTTGTGGCCTTTGCAGGTGTTTAGTCCTTTAGCATTATGAGAAAATTCTGATTTAAAAAATTCTCACTTATTCTTTGTTGTATTTTATATCAGACTTGCTTTTTTCTTTTGTCTTTTGTGTGTTTATGTCTGTTATTCTGCTTTTTATGTATATTTTAAGATATGTTCTTAAAATTTTTATGTATATAAAAAGTCTGATCCCTTCACTTGTGTTCAAAGGATTTTTTTTGGAGCATGCAATGAAATTTTAAGAGTGCATATGCAATATTGACCAAAAAGAACTAAGTCACAGTTAGTGACTTAGTAGCAATATTGTACCTCTTCTAGATATGTAATAATCTCAAAGAGGAGAAATAAGAAACAGTGTGTTCAGATCATCACATATATTTTACATTTCTGTATTTTCCAGAGATCTACATTGGAACATGGCTAGGATTTTCACTGTTTAAAACTTATTTCTGAATGCTTCTGGATTGTACCTTAGGGTTATTAGTAAAGTAGTTTAAAGATGAGACCTCTAAAAGCTGTTCAGAAATCTTTACTCTCACAGGCATTTTCAAGCATCTTAATTCTGCTAGTATGGTCACATTATTGGTTGCACTATGCTTGGGATATGGAACTGAGAAAATAATGGTAACTTTAACTTAGTCAAGTCAGTATTTTCACATGTTCTGTATCTCTTATGGGTCTTTTTGTTCAAATAGCTAGAGGAAGCAGAAAGAAAAAGAATTGAAGATTTAAAAGAAAAGGAGCGGCAGAAGGTCACTAAAGAGTTGGAGTTATGGAAAAACCAACAAAAAGATGGTGATAAATACAAGAGCATACAAGCAAAAGAGGAATTACATCCAGAAAAAGAGCCATTAAAAGAGAGAAAAAATGAAAAAATGAACAAAACTCAGATTCCTAATGAAGGAAGTTCTAAGACAAGACTCAAATCCACAAGAGGTTGTATAATTGAACTGTACTTTGTAATTCTTTAAAGTGTGGGTATAACTTTATTCCCAGATGTTTCTAATTCTTCACTTATCTTTGTCTCCACCATACTGAACCAGTTCTTTTAGCTCACGGTTATTTTAAAATTGTTGTTTTCAGACAATTTATTGAGCTAAAGGACATGAGTTCTTAGCTCTAGCTGAAGTCTTTGGAAATACAAGGGTGGGTTTTGTTCTAAGCTTTAGAAAAGTAAATCAGAGAACCTTTCTGGCAGTGTAATGCAGATTTCCTGGGGGTGGGGTTTCTGTTGCCCAAAGTTATCCAACTGTTGGATTTCATGGAACATTCAATCTCATTGGTGCTCTCTGTCCTGTGCCTTGGATCCATGGAGAGCCAATTCAGGGAGCTAAACCAGCAGAAGACATTTAATTGTTGTTTGCTTCATTTGATAGGTTAGTTTTAGCTCTTTTTGTTGCCCTGTCCCAGCATCATACAAGCAACAAAGAGAGAGGTGTAAGAGGAGTTTACGTTCAGTTGTGACAGATGCTGTAAAATTCCATTTCTTTACTTGCTATATTAGGAAGAAGAAAAATTGTTTGAATCTTCCCTTCAGAAGATAAGTCTAAGGTTTTCTCAAGCAATTAGAGATTTAATTCTAGTGTGCCACATTTCTAAGGCAGGTGTACTTTGGACTTTGGTAGAAAACCAGAAAAATCTCTTACTTCATTTTTCATTTCCAGTGCTCTAACTCTTTTCATAGGTCGTGGCTCCTGTAGTATATTTTCACAGGATTTAAAGGAAGAACAGTTACCAGCTCCCCGAGCTGCTGCTACAATTAAAGTCAACTTTACACCACGAGTTTTTCCCACAGCTCTGCGAGAATCTCGTGTTGCAGAGGAGGAGGAGGTAAGGTGGGGAATTAATTATTGTGTATTCAGTCAATACAAAAATGGTGTCTGTGCCAAGGAATGTTAGCTGTGCAATATCCTCATCTTCTAAGGAAGGCAGTCTTATTTAAATTAAGAGATAAAAAAAACAATTTTATACAAAAATTCTTTTCACCCTGTTGTTCAGATTAATAAATAACATGTTCCTTTTTTGGGGGGGGGAGAAAAGGCAGCAATATTAATTTAATTAGTTGAAGTAGAAAATTTGAAGTGTTCTAGCTCTTATATTCAGGATTCTTTCAGTTTTGTCTCAAAAGAAGCTAACAGCTCTTTTGAGCTCAATTCAATGAACACAAAGTAATTTTGAAAGACCAAAACAGACAAGTAAAGAAAAAATGTATTAGAGATGTGGTAACCTGACTTCTCATGGTGATAAAATATTTGGGGAAACTTTGAAGTTTTTCATATTGGACACTATCAAATATTTTCCTGTGTCTGAAATATGTGGTCAATAGAATTCTTTTGATAGGTATGAGTGAGGAGATGAAAATAAAATCCTTTTTTGGACTTGAATTTTTGCTTCAGAAATAATACTAGCACATTTTTTATTTACAGTGGCTGCATAAACAAGCAGAAGCTCGAAGAATAATAAATTCTGATTTATCTGAGCTGGAAGATTTAAAGGAAGAGGAGAAGAATCCAGATTGGTTAAAGGACAAAGGAAAGTAAGTTACATTCCAAGTGAATATGCATTAAAAATGAATTAGTTTTATGGTGTTTGTCTACTGTTCAGTTTTGGTATATTCTATTTATTCTAGACAGAGTTGGTGAATATCTAGAGTAGTCATGGTAGTTGTACTAGAGATTTTACTGACAGCTTAGGGGTTAGAATCTGATAGAATGAGATGCAATTGTTGAAGCTCATGATGAACAAAATAATTATAAACACATTATGTATATTCTTCTTTGAAGAAAGTTGAGGCAGTGCACTATTATACCTAAGTGGATTTAATTTCATTTGTACTTTTTTAGTGAGATTTTAAACATCTATGTAAAATAAACTAGGGACTTTATACAAATACTGGTGTATTTATATAGCTGTGTTATAGAGAAAGCTTTGATTAAGAAATCATAATCAGATATACAAAGCTTTCAAAATTAGATCTGTGTCTACATAAATGTGTCCACTCTTACAATCCTTCATTGCTTGCAAGCAGTGACTATTTTTGTTGTATATCTCTAAGCTATGTTCTCAGCAGCCAGGTGCACTGAACTTCAGCTATGTTGTTCTCAGAAAAGGCTATAAAGGGCATTTCAAAGGAGAAGATGCTAAAACCTCAAATATTTGAAAATGAGTTAATGATAAGTAGGTGTTTATTTTGTATTTATCCCCTTCTTTAAAGTGCATGTTTCACTTTTTTGTTGAATATTTAGCAAAATGTTTGCAATGGGAGACTACCTTGGGGCTGTGAATGCCTATAACCTTGCAGTGAGGCTGAACAATAAACTCCCCGTCCTGTACCTGAACCGTGCTGCTTGCCACCTTAAACTGAGAAATTTGCACAAAGCTATCGAAGATTCCTCCAAGGTATAAAAATCCAGGAGCTCAGGCTCTTTTGCATTAATGTGATTTGTCGCTGTGATGGTTCTGTTTGAAGCAGATCTGTAAATACATATTAGTGCAATTCAAAGTTTTAGAATTAAAAATTGATACAATAAAGCCATGGTGAAATATTAAAATTTGATACTGATGAATGAACTTTCAGAAATCGAAAACAAAACAACAATAAAATAAACCCTAAAACAGGCTTCCACACATTTGTGACAAATGGCCATATATTGGCCAGTATGTTTCATTACAGATAAAAATATTGTAGCAATATGTACACTTGAAAAAGCCCACGACTTGGAGCAGAGAAAAACAAAACCAAAGTAAACTCATACATTTTCTATTATGTTGTGATGTACTTCATTTAGTTGGAAAGAAAAAAAAATGGTGGTGATGAGCAAGATACCTTAAAAAACTTCTAACAAACCAAACATTTTCAAAGAAGGGCTGTATTGTCCTGATGTTTTAGCAGCTGTTATTTGTGCCACAAGAGGAATGATCTCAAATGGCACCTGAATGATGTTGGAAAATTTTCCAAGAATTATTATTTTTTTGAACTAATAAGTACTTGAGTCTTGAAACTTGGGGGTTTTTTCCTGGTTTTTTTTTTCCTAAAAACTAACTGCTACTAAAACACATGCGCTTTTATAGTGCTACTTTTTTCTTTTTCTTTTGATAGCATGATAGGCTATATGATGTATGAAAACAGAACACATTATTTGACCCCAGTAAACATTTAACATGGCATTTGTCAGTTTTTAGCCATGGCAATGTAACTGTAGTTGGCAAACTGGGGTGATGGATACAAATCTTAATGACTAGAGTCACAAGCCATTTATAGTTAAATTTGAATAGCTATTTTCTATTACTGTTTGAATACTTGTTATATTACTGTATAATGATAGTAATTAGGTGAGAGAAGTGTTCATAAATTAAAAAAACCCCCAAATTATGGAAAACCTACTTATAAATACTGTGGGTGTTGTCATTTGTGAAGGCTCTGGAACTGTTGACACCACCTGTTCCTGATAATGAGAACGCTCGAGTGAAAGCCCACGTGAGACGTGGAACAGCGTTTTGTCAGCTGGAATTGTACACTGAAGGTGAGGCCTTGCTTTTATGGAAACATGCACAGGAATTTATAGAGGCATGCAAGTAATTCTGTTTAGCTCACACCTTCATGTTTTGAGAAGTGATTTGAAGGAGGTCTGTATAATCTATGTCTATTTGTTATGAACCTTCATACCACATTCTTTAATTTTTTTTAAATTGACTGGATACTTGAAAAATCTTTCCAAGTTTGAGTAAATGGATTGCATTCCTAATTTAAGGAGTTTTTCCACTGAAGATATTAAAATAACCTGAAATATTTCTAAAATACTTGTTAAGTGCTTAGTAACATCCTTGTAAACTGAGGTAGGAAGCCCATATTAATGAGTGAAATGATTCATCAAGTATGTGTGATTTGTGTGAAAATAACTGAATTCCCTATTCAGTTCCTCAAGAGTATCAAATCAGTTTTGTAAAGCAAATTTACAAGTGAAAGCTGATAATAGAAATGGAAGAATATTCAAAATGTCAGTGTTGAAGTACTAAGCTTTGGCATTTTTTACCTTTTTCTGCAGTCCTCACTTGGTTATTCCCTTACAAGGTTTCATTTGCACTTTGAAACCTTATAAAAAAGACTAATGTAGGCAAGATTTTACTTTCTATACCCAGGATTTGTTTTTTTCCCCACAAGCTCTGATTTTCACAGTTCATGTCTTTTTTGTTCATATTTTCACACAGGATTATTTCCTTTCTTCTGCAGAACACTTTAGAACAGTCCCTTCATGCACACACACATATATAGGTGTGTATGTACATGAATGAAGAGGCTCTATTTTCATTTTTCAAAACCTGAAAATATTTATGTGGTAGAGTGTTTCCACTACAATGTTTTGTAAAATAAGATAAACAAAATATGTTTATTTACTGATGGAAGCTAAACTAATGTCATTTTGATCCCATCTTACTTAAGGACAAACCTCAAGATCAATACTTTATGCATATGACTGGGGAGTAGTTATTTCCAGTTAGTTGCTAAAGAGGATGCCCTTGCATTATTGATTGATATTCTTATTAATGTGACTATATTAGGCCTCCAGGATTATGAAGCAGCTCTCAAGATTGATCCTAAAAATAAAATTATAGAGAAGGATGCTGAGAAGATTCGACAACTAATTCAAGGAACAATGCAAAGTTCTTAATTAAAAAAGTATAAAAAAGAAACTTTGATGCCTTTGAGGACATCAGAAGGAATCTTATTTCTCTTCAGTGTGTGTTACCTAGACATTTTTCTGCTTCACTTGGAACACTTACAAAATTGGTAAAAGATTGGATATATTATTGGAAAGTACAGTATTTTAAGCATGATAAGATATATTTTCTATAATTTTGATACAAAGTTGTTGTATTTTTGCTTTTTGTTAGCATTCTGTATTACTCTGACAATCTGAAACCCTGGACTTGAAGTGGCTCCTTTTTGTTAAGTGTTCATTCTGAACTGGGGCCATTTCAATTACACTTCTTTGAGTAGCAGTTCTGGCAGACTTCTGAATTTTCTGCATCAGTCTCTTTCCTGAATACCATTTATGACTTATTTCTGTCTTTATAATAAAGTATTTATCATGCAGATATATATTATTGTGTGCAAATGTTACAGTGTTGTACCAGGGAGAAGGTGGCAGGCATTGTTTCCAGCTGTTTTACTTAGAGCCTTGAGAGGAGTGCTGAGGTGAGTCAGAAATGTCTGGTACAGAAAACTGCTGCATTGCCCTGCAAGGGGCTGAAAACACTTTTTATAACAGCTGGAAGGAGGGCAGTGCAGCAGTTTGAGTGCCTCTATTGGCTGTAATGCTATACTTACAGATATTGCTGTTTTCTTTTTATAATTACTGAGGGGAAGTGAGGGCTAAGGAGCAGAGACGGGAGAACAACAGGAGAAAGATCATCTTAGTCAGCCCTTCAGCTAACAGGGCAAAGCATTTCAGATTTGTTAACTGTTTTTGTCAGAGCAAACATTGCTCAAGATGTATATTGAAACACATGCATGGTGGAGAGTGAGGAACTTAACATTTTGACCTTATTTAGTAAACTGTGGACAGTGGTAATTTGACTCATAATGACTATGGAAGATAGTAAAATTTGAGATTGATGTAAATTTCTGCATTAGTGATAATCTTGAGCATAGGAAATATCTTAATATGTGTGGCAGAAATAGTTAGTATGGATAAGAAAAATATAAATGAGAGTAAGAATAGAGTGAGACTCTGGGTAATGTGATTTAGTTCTGACCTTTTTTCTAACATACAGGAATATGAAAAATAGAGCCCTGGAGAAATTTACAAGTGATTGTGCTTCCTCACTCATGTTTACATGCAAGTATTTTTAATATTTTTATTTTTTTCCCCAGTAGGGAGTGAGTTATCATATGACAAATACTTTTTCATCTGTTTATGGGAACTGCTGTAGTGCTGTATTGATGAGCCTGCCACAAAACTTCTCTGAGTGGGATACCTCCCTTAGTGCTGCTGAGCAAGACAGTTACAACCTGCTGCTCCTCGGAGGTGCAGTGAAAGCTTTTTTCTTTGTCTCTCAGTCATGTAAGACATGAAGCCAACACTGAACTTGCTGTCTTAGATAAAACTTGATTAAGACATTGCCTTTATTAATGAGGCCTGTTGTTGTCAATCTCCCATTTATTTTTTCTTCCAGTATCAGAGTACTGTTGGGGTCTAAACCTCTGGGATTTTGGAGGATCTGCTCTGTTTGTACAGTGCCTGTTGGTGAGATGTGCTCTAGGAACATGGGTGGGAGTTAAGGACCTGCCTTATCCCCAGTCTGAGTGGCTCCTGGGACAGTTTCTCTTGAAGCAGCAGGGCCTGTGCTTGGAGGAATCTTTCTAAATTAGTTAATCAAAGTTTTTCTACCTGAGGTTAGAAGAATCAAAGATTTGTTTTCCCTATACAGCACCTTTGGGTTTTGGTGTTTTTTTTGTTGTTGTTTTTTGGTTTGTTTTTTTTTTTTTGGGGGGGGGTGGGGAGTGGCAAGTTTTGGGGTGTTCCTTTGGTTGTTTTTTGGGGGGCGAGGCTGTGGGTGCTGGTTGTTTGTTTGTCCTTTCCCTCAGTACTAGCGTTCCTGGCATGCACCGGAGCGCGTCTCCTCAGAGCTGGCTGTCGCTGAGCCCGGCTCTCCCGTGCTCGCACCGGCACAACGCTCCTCGCGCTGAAGGGGCCTCCAGCAGCCCCCGCCCGGCACAACCGGCGCCGGGGCCGCGGGGCCCGCGCTCGGCGGCGCGGCGTTGCCATGGCGGTGCCCGGGGCGGGCCTCGGGGCGGGCCGGGCGCTGCGGTGCCGCTCCGGTCGCTGCGGTGCCCGGGCCGCTCTGGGCGCTGCGGCCGCCGGGCCGCGGCGGGGCGCGGACTACGCTCGCCAGGGTGCTGCGGACGCCGCCCCGCGCGCAGGCGCCGGCCCGGGCGGGCCGGGTTGTTTGTGACGGCGTCACCGGCGGCTGCGGCCGCGGCTCCTCGTCCGTGCCGGGCCCCGCGAGGGCCGCGCTCAGGTAGGCGGCGGGACCGGCCCGCGGGGGCGGCCGCCCTGCCCCGGCCCGGCCGCGGGGAGCTCCGGGGGGCGCGGCGGCTGCCGCGGGGAGGGGCCGCCCGGAGCGGGGCAGAGCCCGGGGCGCCGGGGCCGGGCGGCCGTTCCTGGAGCGGGCAGGGGGTGACGGGGCCGCGCGGGGCCGCGGCGCCGCTCGGGGGGCGAGCGGGCTCCGGGCAGCGGTCACCGCCGTGCCGGCCCCGGCCCCGGGCGCTGGCGTTTGCCAACTTCCTTCTCTGCCATCGCCTGCCGCTGCCTCGGCGGCTGATGCAAGGTGCTCTGTTTCATAAACACTGCGCTGGCGCTTTAACTGCGCTGGCGCCGGGCCGCGCTCCGCTTCAGGTGCGCTCCAGGAACACCTGCGCCGTACTGGGGTAGGGACTGAGCTGGGAATGCCCAGCCTTGCGGGAGTCTGGCTTTCCTTCATAACAAGGAAATATTCTATATTCAGTATGGGTTGCTAAATATATTCTTAGAGAAGAATGTTACTTAGGGGAAGAAATAACCACTTAGAAATAATAAACTTCCATGAGAACGCTGAAGTTTAATAGCACTGAACCTGTTTTTATTTCTGTTGTGCAACAAAGAATCGACTGTAGAAGAGGGCTGAGAGTTTTTACTTGGAATGACAGCACAGCAAACTCTGTAGAATACATTCATATTCTTCTTTGGTGCCCATTACTCATCTTTGTCAGTGCTTATTGAAGGTTATTTTTTAGTCTTGGAAATTCTTTTTTTAGATGATTGATCTTAAGGGTTTATTTACACTGGAGTGGTCCTGTTGAAGACTGGTATTTATTTTGCTTTACAGTAGATAAATAGGATGTGGTATCTCAGATTTATTTTTATATACATATCTGGGATAACTTCGTACTGTGTTATCAACAATGCACATGGTTGTAAACTTTTGCACCTTATGCTTCTGGTTTACATCTCACTAAGGATAGGAAAATAGTTAATGCTTCTGAGTTCCTGCCCCCCTTCCCCAAATACATACAAATTGCACTCTGAGCATAATGAGTATTTAATTTGTCCACACAGAAATTAAGAAGATGATGCCAGAAGTGACAATGAAGATGCTTAGTGAGCATACAAAACCAGGGCACCACGGGATTGGCTTTGGTTGGGTTTTTTCCCCATTCTTTCCTTCTGGCTTGGCCTGGCAGAGAGGAGATGTGTAACACCCTAGTGTATCCTCCAGTCATCCCTGCTGTTACTGGGCTAGAACCCATTAGTGTCATCTTGATTCATTAGGAAGTTTGAAGGCTTTATGTCTTTTTAACTCCTGCTCAAAGCTATTTTTGTTTTTAAAGTTGCATTCAGGAAGACAGTGGCAGCATTTCCAGCCCCTTTAGGTTGGTTGGAGAGGCATATTGGTTCTTAGTGGGTCTTTGTCATTTGCTGGAGAATCAAACTGGAGAAGAGTTTGTGAGTGGGTCAGTTTAGTCATTGGGTTCAAATTAGTTTTCTGTTTTTCAGTGTACTTAGGGGATTGAATTTGACCTTGGATTGAGTTATGATTATGTGCATTTTATTAATCTGTTGCAGAAATAAGCTGTTTAGCTGATGGTTGAAGTTTAGGAACACTGTACCTAGGTAATTTTTTTATTAAAGCTTGTAGGTCTTTTTGATCTTTTAGATCTGAGTAATAAAGTGTTTTAATTTTGGTAACTGTTTTACACGTGTATGTTTGCTGAATATACCTGTAGGAATGCATTTACCCTAGAGATGCTCTTCAGTCTGATGCCAAGCTATCTATCTATTGTAATTTGGCTAAATTTAGCAGTTCTAGCCATAAACCTTAGTGTTCTTCTGATTATTCTTTTTAAAAATTCCATTATTTTTCTTAATATTAAAATATTTAATACTTAAAATATTAATTAGAATACTGATATAAAAATATTTTCTATTTTGGTGGTTTGTCACCTGTGTGCAGGTAAATATGCACTATTAGTGTAGTCTTCTGGTTGAATACAAAGAAATAACTTCTAACTCAAGGCCATTTATCAAGACAAGCGAGCAATAGGAAATGATGATTGTTTGCCTGCTTGTTTATCTGTTTGTTTATTTAATATATTTTGATGATGTTGGTACCCAGGGAGGTGCTGAAACTTTTGTGTGGGATGGGAGGACAGGTGTTTATGTGGAGCCCAAAGCCATGGCTGTATGTTCAGAGCAGAAGATGCCTTTGTGTTTCTGCAGTTACCTGTCAGTGTGTTTTTGGCAGGACAGGGAGAGCAGGATGGTGTCTCTGTTGTGTTCACCAGGCCCAGGGTGAAATGCTGAGTTAGCTGGACGAAGACAGATGTTGCAATGCCCAGCACAGAGTCTGCCGTGACAATATGGGATTTCAAAATCTGTAGATGCACTGGTATCAAACTGTACTGGTGCCCTGAGGTTGTGTTTTAAGAATTCAGATTTTGCAAGGCAGCCAGTGATATTTCTGCCAGGTGACGAGTTCTGGTGCTGGGAGTTCCCTTCCTATGAAAGGAATGCTGCTGCTGCTGGATGCCCAGTCACATTTAGAGTAATTAATGACAGCAAGCAGATGTCGTTGTCACATGTCAGCTCCAGAACTTAGTCTTTGCCTTTTGGGCATTTGTTATTTTGATGATTGAAGAAGTATGATTTAAAAATAAATCACAGTTGAAAAGAAAAGAAGATCCTTTTATGCAGTGTGATTTAAAAAAACCCAAACAACTCAAACCAAAATAGATTTCTTCCCACCCCCTCCCAACCTGACATACCCTGGTTGAGATTCCAGGAAAAGCACTAATGGAGGAAGAAAAATATCTACAGGAAAATGACAACCATATTCAAAGTAGGGCTTTATAAAAAACCAGAAATTCAGTTTCTCTCTTAAGTTTCATACCTAAGTTGATTGTTAGTGAATATTTTTGCTTAAACTGTTGTTGTGATTGTCACCATTGCCTTTTTTTTTTTTTTACAGAGGAACTGTGAATATATTAGTAGAAGTTGATGAGAAAATAGTTTTATCTTAGAAAAACATGCAGTAACTACCATAATGCAGAGATCTGAGACACGTTTACTGTGTTTTGAGAGAAACCTACATGCAATTGGAGGTTTTATATTTTGTTGTGCCCATTTCCAGCCACACTAGTGTACTTAGATGTTCTCATTCAAAGTTTTATATATGTTTTCTGTGTTGAGAAACCAGGAATGAAGGCAGGATTGATAATAAAGTGGAGAGCAAATAAATTTAAACACATAGATGCTTTCCTCTGTGTTCTTACTGGAATTAACTCAGAGTGGGAAATACAGCAGGTGTCTGAAATTGTGTGATAAAAGCTGTATTGAACCATGGTTTCATTGGCTGTTTTATTATGTTGATGCATATAACAGCCAATCAATTGGAAATTGTTAAATTTTGGGAATTTTTTCCCATGAAGATGAATCCATAGTCAATTTTATATAAAAATTCAATATTTTTTTTTCAAGGAACAAAAACTGTTTTAAACTTCTTTATAAAACCTTTTTGCTAATTAAAGACTTGAAAAAGTGATTGAATATGATGTTAATGAATACTCTGTATTCCTGGTAAATTCCTGTTAAAAAGGAGAAAAGATATATAGACAGCTGCAGCTGGACTTCTGAAAGTGGCTACCAGTCATCTGGTAATATTATTAAAAAAAAAAAGTGTACTTTGGGTTATTTTCATTTTGTTTTTGTAGTTGCCAGGTGCTCTCAGTTTTCCTCAGAATCAGCGTGAAGGAGTGAAAGAAGCAGGAAACATTGATTTTGCCCAGTAGTTGAAGAAAATTAGTTCCAAAAGATCTTAATCTGTTTCTTCTCAAAAAAACCTCACACTGTTTTTCTTGAATAAACTGTAGTTTCTGTGCATGTAACCAAGCAGAAATTATTTCATGTCTTAAAACTTGTCTATAGCGTCATTTTTTAACTTTAATTATTAATTTATTGACTAGCTTTGTGTGTGTGTCTAGTCTAAGGGCTTTTTGGTTGGCTGAAATAACTATGTGCCTAGCAAAACTATATTTGCTCCAAGTATAAAGAAGATAATAGGAAATAAGTACAAAAGAATATATTTTCTTTCCCAACTTTTATTCTGGTTTTTTTTCCTAAGTTCCAGAATAACAATTTGAGTGTTAGTATATTATTCTGTAACATCATGATTTCCATTCTTCTGCTTATTTATTTTTCAATAGAGCAGTGAAATTGTGTGCCTTGCATATTAAAAGAGTTTATTTTTACCTGCAGTGTGCTTTGAAAATGTCTGAAAATTCCAGTGACAGTGATTCGTCTTGCGGCTGGACTGTCATCAATCACGAGGTACTCAGTTTCACATTGGTACAGTTCTGTCATTTATAAGCAGTAAAATGCTATTTCAGCTTAGTAATTCTTGTTTTGTGTGGATATTGCATATCAGCAGAGAATACAGAAGAGCAATTTAGAAGTAAATAATGAAACTACTATTTAAAAAAATATATACTTTTACTATAATTGATAAAAATTTTCATATTTAAAATAATTAATTTTTCTGCAAAGGTTTTACTTTGAAGACCTGGTAGAATTTTAGTGGCATGCATTCTTCTGTTTCACCCTGCCTGAAAATATTAGCATGCTGTGTAACTTGTCTGTTGTTTCTAATGTATTTTTTCTCCTCCTGATAAATCTGTACCCTCACCAAAACAAACAAAGTTCGGAATACTGGGCAGGAAAAATATCTTGTGCAGAGGGAATGATTCCATGATTTCCCCAAGTTTTTTCTACCACTAAGGTATCTGATCCTAATTTCAGCAGTGGCTGTTCAAGGGCAGCCCTCAGTCCTTACATAGTCTTCCTTACAGAAAATTAAGATAGGGACAAGTGTATATTCCAGCACTATGATGGGACAGGTGTCTGGATCTGCTGTTGGTTTCAAGGTTTGCATTGTGTGGATGAAATCAGTGCTGTCAGTGGAGAGCAGGAGTCTTATGGCAGGGTCAGCCCTTAGGTTTGATCAAATGACTGCCCTGACTGTGCTGGTTGACACGGTGCCTTCAACACCTGCTCATGTACAGCAGACACATGAATGTAGATAAGAAAAGTGTTTTATCTTCCCTTCCCACAGTGGACAACCAGGCCTGGGTTGCTCAGAACCTCTGAGAAGCCTTTCCTGGTAGTTTGGGTATCCAGTATCCTTTCCTCCTTTAGTCCTGAGGATTTCTGTATCTCTGCAGATCTTGGCTGGTGTGTGAGTGTAGGATGGGTGGGTTGGTTTCCTTGTTTGGTTTGATTCTTATGTATTTAGCATTGTCTTCTAAACTGAGGAGGCCATTGAGCCAGAATCCTCAGGACAGATGGGTTGACAGTTTTCCTGGAATGACACTTAGTATCGCCTGCATCTACTTGTTGCCTGCTCCAGAAATTCAAGGACCAGTGCTTGGGCTGTTTCATTCAGAGGAGGAAAGCAGGAAAAAATGACTGAAAATCATGCATAGTGTTCATCTGTTTTTCATTGCACACTCCTCTGTTTTGCAGATTATAATGAAAATGGGAAATTTGGAACCAAGCTATTACAAACCTGTGATTGCACTCATGTTTTGACAGTTCCTTGTCACAAGTGATACAGTTTGAAGTTTATAAATATTGGGCCATGCTTTCATTTCTGTTGGCAGCAAAGTGGTATTTAAGAGATGGTTAAAACTTCTTTTCCTTGTTTTGGGCTGGATGACAGGCTGGGCATCTTGTCACCAAAAGAAACAGAAAACTCATGCACTCCATTCCTCAAGGCCAAGAGGGCTACAAGAGTGTAACAGGCTGCTGGACTCACAGAGCTCAGATAAAAGTAAAAGGATTTAGAGGTTGAGTTCAGCAGTTGAGTTATTCAGCTGTGAAGTGCAGACTTTATTTTCATTCTTGGGATGGTTATTTTACACTGTAACTGCAAATGAATTATGCTGTCTAAATAAGTTAACATAACACAAGATTGTAGGATGGCTGGGATTTGTCTAGTCAAAGCAGAACAGATTTCTGTGGCATGGAGATTTTGTGTTCCCAGTTATTCATCTCTGATTCAGTGAAATAAAAATGGGGCAGCACTGGTGTTTGAGAGCTGCCATTATTAGCATTCTTCTGGTAGGACAGCTTTGAATCTGAGCAGAAAGAAAGCAGAATGGATGGGATGGCCAGGTACCCTTCACACAGCTACTGCCCATGGAGGGGGATGTGGACTTCTGTGCACTGCAGTGAATTGAGCTGGATCTTTAGGGCAGGGGTAGAACTGTGGGTTAGACAAATTTGGAGTACTGAGTTATGATTTTCTCACATGCTGTTGTGACCTGTATTGGTGATGGCACAGTGGAATCTGTTTGTGGACACGTTTTGCAGTGAGTTAGGGGCAGGAAGTGGCTGTTGGCCAGGCTGTGGCTGAAGGGAGCCAGCAGCTGTGGCTGCTGCACTGAGGGTGGGCTTTGGGCAGAGTCAGAGTGCTCTGCATTGCTGGGCTGCTCCTGAGAAAGGACTTGCTAATTTTGTGTAGGAGGGTAGGGAGGTGACAATATCTTTTCTTGACCTCTTTGCTATTGCTGACATGGAAGGTCCAGCATCAGATGAAGTGGATCAGAGTGTTCATGCATTCCCACCTGTGTGCTTAACCATGTACTCAGCTAGCCCATTAACTTGGATTTTTAGCTGAAATTGTAATCTGTCTTAAGCAATACTCCTGATGTTTTTCTTCTTGTGGAGCCTGGGCAAACTGAAATGTTGCTATTCTTCTTCTTCTTCGCAATTTAAGAAATGAAAGTGGTTCTGTCACACCAGAGAAAATTGTCACATAATAAACCTGTATATCTATCTATAAAACCTAACCAACCCAAAAACCTCAAATAATTTTGTATTTTCTTTCCTGAGATTTCACTTAGATTATAGTAAATTACTTGTAAATGAGAGGTGAATTTCTGCAAAACACATCAAATCAAAGTTGAGATATTTACGTAGTCAAAAGGAAAAAGATACAATGTGTTTAAAAAAGAAAAAAGATACACAGTGTTTAACAGTTTACCAAAGGAGTTATATTTTGAAGCCTTTATAAAAGAAACATAACTTTGTAACATGATTATAGAATGTATCTTATGCACTTTTTGAGGTATCTAATCTTCCTGAAGTACAGGCTCTGTAAAAACAAAGGCATACATGTTTGCTTGAGTCCTGAAATGAGACATCCAGGGAAACTGATCTGGAAGTATTGCTGCTACTGTAATTTCACACCTGCTGTTGCAAAAATAACTATCTCTGTTTACAAAAACAGCTCAACTTATTTATGGATCAGAGTGACTTAGGATTTTTTCAGTTATGTTTTGCATGTTTCTAGTTTGCTAATAGCCTTACTGGTGTCTCATCAGTGTTTTTAAACCAAAATTACCATATAAAGATTAAACATTTGGAATTGTCAAGCATATTGCTTGACTTTAGTACCTTGTGTCTCCTGGTGTTGTTTATTTGCAGTTCCTGTTGTGCTCTGGTGTTGTTGCTGCCTGGCTGCTGACCAGTAACGAAGGCTCCTTTCTGGATTAAAGACAGAAATCCAATCTAGAGTTTGTATAAATATTTGTTTTTGAGGTGTCAGAGATGTACTATATGAGCAGCCTTTCAAAATTTCTCGCAGGAGTTGAGATGGAGTGAAGTTATACATAGTTTTTCCTGGTAGTAGTATTTATTGCAGCTCATGTTGATATGCTTGAAAGTTCTATTTTTGGGAGGGTGTGTGTATTTGCATACAGTAGATGAGAACAAGAATTAGATCCCATATTCAAAACCTCCTCTGTTTCTCTAAATTCCATTTAATAAACAGATCTAATAAAGACAATAAAAATAGTTATTTAAAATACTCAGTGTAGTTGTTAATTAATGCCAAAGTTGCTGTCATTTTTCCCCTTTAGAATTATCCTTGTCTAACTTTTTTTAACCTTGGTCATGTTAGTTACACACTAACACTTGTTTCACTCTAGTTAATTAGTTGGTATTTCACCTGCTTTTTTTAGCTCAAAGTCGTCTTCAGTTTTAAAGGCTCACTTTTTCTGCTTCTGTTTTTATTATTAATATTCTGTTTTCTTTGTAATCTTTTCTTCCTACTTTACTATTGGAAACCCCAGTAACTGTAATGTCCATTTAAACTCTTCACCTTCAGGGTTCTGACATAGAGACAGTGACCTCGGAAAATGGAAGCACAAATGACAACCATGAGTTTGTTTCAGAAGAATATGTTTCCTTGCAAGAAGAGGAGCAGGCAATTGATGTGCAAGGTAAGATATTAAAAGAGGAGCAGTTACATAAAATAGATCAATATTTGTTGCAGCATTGGCACAAAATTGGTATTTTCAACAGATTTTTATATGCTTTGTGGACATCTCTCAGGGTATTTGCTTCACCAGTGTTATGGAAAATGATCAGTCATCGACTTTATAAAAGTATTTTTTCCTGAAATGTGTGAAATTAGTAGAATGTTTTTCATTTTGTCCATACTTTAGAATAGTGTGCACTGGTGTTGCTGTAAGATCGTTTATAGAAGTGTTATTGATAAAAGAATTGTTCCCTAGTAATGTCATAGATCAAATAAGAATAATTTGGAAGGAACCATCAATGCTTGTACTCCTAAAAAATAACTTTATGACATTGTATTTTAATATTATATGGGTGTGGGCATAATGTGTGGTTGCTGCTTTTAATCCCGTGTTTGTTTGCTTGTTTATTTCCTCTTTTTATTCGTATAGCTCAGTGCAACAATGATGAAGAGATCCCAGCAGTAGATAACACACTATCTGGTTTTGAGGAAACTCAGACAGTTCCAGAGGTAAATTACATTAACAGACTACTTTACTTAGAAGCTTCTCTAAGCCCCATCTGTCAATGGCAAGAAATGTTTTGAAGGCATTAAAATAGAGACACAAATTTTTCCTTTCCTGAAGTTCCTATCAATTTTTGGTTATTTGTTTGTTTGTTTTAATTACTTCATGTTTTTTGTGTCTGAATAATTCTCATACTGTCCCTTTCCCTAGGAAAATAAAGAAAAAGTTCCTGATGATGGGTCCTGCATTGGAACTATTAGTGATGATTCTGACATTGTTACACTTGAAGCTCCAAAACCAGAAGAAACTCAGAGTCAGGAGGAAGCTCCTGCTGATGGTGAAGAAGCTCAGAGTTCAGAGGATTTTAACATGGGTTCCTCCTCTAGCAGTCAGTATGCATTTTCCCATGTAGAAACTGGTAAGAGCAATAGAGTCCTAAGCAATTGTGTGCAAAAATGTCACCAGGGAAAAAACCCAAACCAGTCTTTGGTAGGGAGCCTTCTTTTTATGGAGAGAGGAATAAAATAATGGTTTTGTTGAGTACATATCCAAGTATTAGAGTTTTTCTAAACTCTAGGTGCCCTCTTCAATTTTGTCTAAATGTATGTCTGCAATTTTTTAATTGAAAGCAATCTTTTTTATTAATTGTTCACTGTTTTAAATGGAAAGTTAATTTGTAGCACATGTTGGAGAATGAAAATTACTTTTAGTTCACAGAATAATTGTAGGTTTTCTCTTGGCAATATTTTGGGCTTTATATAAGAGTTGGCATAAATGACTAGCAAGTGGGAGAGGATTTTTGGTGCCATGAGGACTAGGCAGTATGACTATAAAAACTTTGTACCACCCTCAGTTATGTAGTGTATATTTATATATTTAAGATACTCCCAGTGCTTGACTGAAATAAGCAGTGCATTATAATCAGGAGGAAGAGGATGAATATTTGTCCAATAAAGAACCACAAACAAAACCCCATCAAATCCAAACCAAAAACTTCCCGTTTTGTTGCTGTTCTCTAGTTCTCTAGTCTTCCTCTATAATTCTTTTTGGCTGCTTGTTTGTAATCTCTTCTGTTCTCTTTGTTCTCTATGGCACCTTTGTATTGCTGATTTTTATCTTTCAAATTAAGTTTATTATACAAGCAGGATTTTACCTAAAATACTGTTTTATCTTAGAGTAGGATACAGCATCATTAAATGTTCATGTATCTGCATAGTTTCCACTGGAAACAGAAAGTGACAGCTCAGTGTCTAATTATAATCAGTGAACATTTGTAATGAAATTGTCACCTTCTTTAAGTCTTCTGGGGAATCTGACTTACTTTTTAAATTTAAATTTAGTTGACTTTGTTTTTTTCTTTTAGGGATGAGTTCTAAAAATGTCTTTTTTTTTCCCCCCTGTGTTTTTGTACACAAAAGTCAGTTGGCTGGAGAAGCTGTGGAAGATTCCTGATTGTGTAAGGGGATGGGGAAATGAGGTGAAAGAGCATGTGTCTCGCAGTCTTCCTTTTCAAGGTGGTGTGATTACATTTGATCAGCTTGTGCAAAGCTGATTGCTTAAGGCTTGCATGGAGTGTTCTTACAATTTTTGATAGCAACCTGACTTGATCTTGTCATAGTCATATTCTAGACAGATGCTGAAAGCCAATCCTCACTGAAGAACTTGGCTAAGCTCTCGGTGTCTTATGTGCTTCTTTAAAAAGATGTTAACCTTGCATGTAGGTTTGGAGCAGACGTCAGTAAGGTTTGTAATACATTTGAATGTGTGTGCTTGATTGTTTTACTGGATAGTTCTTGTTGGATTCCAAACCTGCGTGTGACTAGCAAAAAGAATTTCTTCCTTCTAATGTAAGCTGATTTCAGCATGGCCTTTAGTGCTGGGCATTCAGCTGATAAAGTATTGCAGAAAATGGCAGGAGTACTTTTGCAAGGGTTTTAAATGCTGAAGTTTTAGAGGTGACAAAGAGTGGCAACAGAGATCTTTGTCATCCACTTCCTGTTGAGTGTTCTTTTGTGTTGGAAAAGGATGAGCCTCAGATTCTTCCTAATGTAGATACTAAAGCATTCTACAAGGATTTTCTGCCACTTCTTTTTGCAAACCAGTTCCTGTTTAGATTGTCTTCATCATGCAAGCAGAAATGTTTTAATACTGCTTCATAAATGAAGTTCAGCCAGCAGAAATACCCATATGCTACAGTGAACTGTATCTGAGCTGTGTCTGTGCAGAAATGTCAACTGACTTAATCTGATTGCTGGTATAGATCTGACACTTCAAAATCACAGTAGAAACTAGGATTTTGGGCTGCTATTGTGATCACACTTGGTTTTATGTGTATCCTTTCTATCCTGATATTATTAGAGCACAGCTTTGTACTGAATTCTTGCAGCAGCTGTAAGGCAGTGAGTGTCATTCTTGCCTGAAAGTGTAATTGCTGTTGACAGCTTGGCTGTTAAGTGCTTATGAATGGCTTTAAGTATCTTACAGCATTTTTCTTTCTGATTGTCTTTTTTCCCCTCTTTTCTTATTCTTTGCTGTCCAGTGTGTATCAAAGAATTTTTCCATTTGGCTAAAAGCAGCTCTTGTTCCTTAACCACTTTTGTATTCCATGTGTGTAACCTTCTTTGGTTGTTGAAAAACCCTACAAAGCCCCACAGATGAGCAAGAAAAACACCTCTTACTAAGTTTGTCCTGTATATTTCTCTATAATGTCTGACCTCTGCATTCTAGGAATGCATTCTGAATGTTTGCCTTTGTTTTCCAGGATTGGGAAGTATGCATCTGCTTAAATGATTTGGTCTAAAATGGTGTCCTTCTCTCCTAAGCTATAGAAATTCATTTAAGTGTCTGCATGTCCAAGTCACTGTTTAAGTCTGGGTTGACTGATTTACTAACATGGAGTTTTTTATTAAGGGAGGAAGTTGTCTTTCATAATCTGTCATGTTGCTTGTCCATGGACTTGGAAATTAGAAGTGTTCCATATACTAATTGATAATCTTTTCTGGGCTTGATGCAATCACCTCTATCGAGTTGTAATTTATTTTAAGTGAAGAATCTTAAGTGGTAATGCATTTTATAGATAATAGCTAGCACTGCTTGGCATTCTTATCTGTTCAGTGGTGTGTGCATGGCTTTGCTCAAACAAATGACTTTTCAGTTGTGAACTGTTCAAGGACAGACTTTCTATCTTTGTATTTTTACATTCTGAGTAATGATGTCTGATAAGAGAATGAACAACCATATTTTAGGAGGGGCATTAGCATTGTGTGACTGTAAGCAGCAAAATTAGTGTCCAAACAGGAGAACTCTGTCATGTCTAGAGACTTCACTGATCCCATTGAATTTATTCTAGACATGTGAATTAGGTACAGAATGCAGATACTTGAAAGCTATTTTCCACCCTACTACTGCTTCCCCTTGCACTTGAAGGTTACGCTTCTAAAGGAGGGAGATTAAATAATAATTACTTATATACTGCATTATAGAAATCTATTTACAGTATGTGCAGCAAACATTTGTACAAATAGGAACAAGCAATTACAGCTCTGTTGTTATTTTCCTGGTTAGAATATAGCCCTTTTGGGCCATTAGAACATGAACATACAAATGGTATAATAGATATAATCTTGAAAAAATCTATAAAAGGTATTTTTTAAGGTTAGAATTTGTTCTTATTGCAAATCTTGTCCAATTTTACCAAAACTTCAGTCCTGTAATAGAAGAGTGTTGGGAAAGAACAAACAGAAAAGCACTTAAATGGATTTTTTCCTGTGCTGTAGTGGTTGAAAATGGCTTTTTGAAAGGTGGGTAAAGATGTTAACAGATAGTATATAGTAGATATTAAAAGAAAACAAAATTGCATATTTAAATAAATTTATGTATTGATTTTGAATATTTCTAATAGCTACATTAATCGAACTGTAATGGAATTTTTTCTGCAGTTGCATGCAGATCACAGAATGAAATTTTTTGAGGGGATGTAACAAAACCATGTCTTTCTTCTAGGAGGCCTTCTTTTAGCAAGCCTTGATATTGCTCTTTCATTTTAAGTATTTCAGTTTTAATAGCTGCAAGAGAAGGAAAACTGAAATCTTTGTCTTTTTACTTCACAAGAATTTGCAGGGGCAGTACATGTAGATGCTTTAGGAGGCAGGGTTGACTGAAACACTTTGTAATGGGTGAATGATAAGGTATGGGGAAGTGCCATACAGCTATTTAGTGATGATTTCTTGATTCTCTATAATTTAGTTTTAAAAAATTAATTTTTAACTTTGAAGAGCACACATTGCGTAATTTCCAGCACAAACGATATCATTAGAATTTTAATTTTGTTTTGTTAATGTTCTCAAGGATAAATACCAGATCTATTTTGCATAAATAATACGGATCTTGATATTCAGTTTGCTCTTTACCACAGAACTCAATGCGTTTTAATCACGGCTGTGTGCTGCTTTTCAGTGTTCTCCTCGCAGGCCAGCCCCGAGGAGTCGAGCAGCGATGAGAGCAGCAGCCAGGGCAGCCCGGCCGTGCGCAAGCGGCGCCCGCGGCGGCGGGGGGTGTCGGGCTCCGAGCCCGAGGGGGCGGCACCGGCACCGGCCGAGCCCGAGGCGGAGCCGGCCCGGGACGAGCAGCAGCAGCAGCGGCAGTTCGGCAGCGGCCTCAACAGGTGCATCGTCCTGGCGCTGGTGATCGCCATCAGCATGGGCTTCGGGCACTTCTACGGTGAGTTCAGGGAGGGCAGAGCACGCAGTGCACATCTTGTGCAGCAAATGCTGTTTTATTGTGACTGCCGTGTTTTGTCTTGTTCTCTGCTAACGACCTAAGCCACTGCAGCTGTAGTACAGGGAGGTTCTTCAGCAGTGCAACTGTATGCACTATACACTACTTTGTACAGTAATGGGGTAAATAGTGATTTTGCCTGAGTTTTATATGAAAATATGCCTTTCTAAAAAGGCATGTGATTCATTGGAGATGGGGATATCATTCTCTTTGGATTCAGTGTTGACTGATCGTTAGGGATTTCAATTTTGGCGCTTCTTTGAGATTTGTATTAATTTTCATTGATCCCATTTTTTTTATTCTTAGGTAAGCCTGAAGGTAAGAGCCTTGAGTGATGTACTGTGGATGCTGTTCTTGCACTCAGATTAACTTTTTAAACTGTGTGTGTGTATGTGTACACACACATCCATATATGTATGCATACTTACATTGGGAAAATAAAACAAGAAATCAAGTCTCAGGAATTGCTGATGTGTGGGGGGTTATAGGAACAACTAATCCAATCATACAAATACATTTTATGTAGTAGTAACTGGTGTGCAAACTGTTTGATGAGCATTGGCATGCTAGAGGCATAGAGGAGCACAGTGACCACAGCAGTCTGTGATAATGCATGTGGGGAAACATGAGATCTCAGTTGATAATCACTTCACTGTGTTTAGTTTGGTGTTGATAAATACTATCTTTTTAAAGAACTTGGAGATCTGTGGATGAAAAATACACTTTGAATGTGGACTCAGGGTAATGCATTTTTTAAGGAATTCACTTGTTCATTTATTGAATCTGTACTTGTAAATAAAAATTGCCATCATTGATGACAGTGATGGCTGCATTTTTCAGCAGAAGGAAGGCAGCTCTGTGTGGCTTCAGTTTTTGCTTCTTCAAGTGAAAGTTCTTTGTGCTTATGCGATAACTTATCTTTCTACCACTAGAAAGGAAGTGAAGTTCTGCTTCCATCTTCCTGTTTTTAGGTTTGTTTTTTTTTTCCAACACAAACTTGCAGGGAGAATCCATGTCCCTAGAGGACTACTTTGTAATTTTGTGATTCAGCTTGGAATGAATGTTTCCCACAGCACTCTTCTACTGTTAGGCTAATTGTCATGTAAGAGGATTGGAAGTGTAACTTTTTTAAAAATTACTTTCATTTTTTTGGGGTCAATATCAGGATAGTATTTTCTTTTTAGCTAGAGCTCTAGGGCCCCTTTAAGACTTTTAGAGATGCAGAAAGCAAGTAGATTAGATTAATTAGATTAATTAATATGTTTTAATCAACTCTATCCTAATCAATATTAAACTGAGTTAACTGGTTTTATGATGCTCTAGGAAGGAGAACTGAATGAACACAAACTTTTCAGGTAACAGGCAAAGCTTAAATTAGGTAGAAGGTCCTTGCCAGAAAAATGTCTCCTTGTGGACATTCAGATGAATTTTTTTTCTTTAACCAGAAACTGCAAGGGGGACTACAGCTATAATGCTAGGGATTTGGATTGGTTACTTAAAGAATCTGAAGGAGACTGTGACTTAGAGTACCAGCTGGAAACACAAACCAATTACTGAGGAATGGCACTTCAATATGTTCATTTTTAGTGTTGCTAAATGTCATTTTTGCTTACTGCACTTAAATTACGATTTTTTATAATGAGAAAAAGAGAGCTTTAAGTGTTTTCTGTAATTCAGGTTCTACCCAACATAAACCCTTTGTGCTAAATGATGATTTTTCAGATGCAGGCTTTAGATTGTTAGGATTGATGGACTTCCTCAAAAGCATCTATGAAAGATAAATATTAAAACCAAATTTACTGTCAGTATACTTGAATTCATTTATAAAAGGATCTGTGCTCTCAAGAAGTGTTTACTAGGACTCTGCATCATTGCTGTAAAAATGTTGCCTTTACTTGAAGGCAAATGTTGCCGTTGCTGAATTGAACTATTATAGTTCAGCTTGGTTTAATAGAGCAGTCTTTTTTTAAGGTCACACTTCACAATAGATAAAAAAGAAGAGAGCACAAAACATTCATCAGCGGAAGTGTAGTTAGAGCATTTCTTCTGTTTACAATATGTCTCCCCCTGCCTTTAAATACAGAAATAGATCTCTGATTATGGTGCAATGGTTTTGAAAGAAATACCTAAAAATTGCTGTTGCCTTTTTCTCTAGAGTAAATTCAAGAGACTCTAAAAAGCAAATATATAAAAACTACATCAGTGTTAGGATTTAGAGGACAAATGTTAGATGAGGAAGTACCAGTCAAGAAACTGTTCTTGACAAAGAAAATTTGGTGGCTAGTACAGCAAAGATACTTTTTCTGAAAGCCAGGGTGTCTCAGCCTTTGTGTGGCAGTTGAAAAACAGGACACGTGCTTACTCTGCAGCCTCTGCTTATGGATAAGAAGGACAAGACAAGGGCCTGAAATACTTGCTGCTTTGTGAGCAGTATGTAATAATTGTATTTCTGCATGAAAATTTAAACACTGTGCTAATACCCTCTCATTCATGTAATTCAATTAACAGTCAAGGTTGGAGTTCTGAAGTGGATAATGCATGGACCAATAGTTTCCCTTTTATCCTGGTTGACTTGCATGTTTCTAAAAAACTTACAGAGAAGTCACAAATATTCTTTCCTGCATAACTTGTTGGTTTGGATCTAATTTATTTCTATGTAGTGTTCCAAAATTCCTTTATTTGTTATAAATGAAAAACCAGTGTAGAAGCCGATTTTTGGGTCTGAGAAATGGTTTATCATTGAAAGAAAAAAATTTGCTACAGCTAAACAGTTACTGGTAAGGACAGGGCTGAAATGGCAAGGTAAGAATCCTTCTCAATTTCCAGAGAGAATGAAGATGATGTTTAGGTGCCTCTGTTCCTCTAACTCCTTACTCTAAGTCAGTCTATCAAAATAAACTTTTTTATCTTTGTAGGTACAGTGCAGATCCAGAAACGGCAGCAGCTGGTGACAAAGACACGTGAATTAAAGGATCTGAAAGATGACCTTTACCAGTGCCAACAAGAGCAAGGAGATCAAGTGCACCACAGAGGGGGGGTAGGTGTGAGCTTAGCTGGAAGTCATTGCATAATTCTGTCATTGTATGTGTGTTTTACACAAAGTGAAATGAATTTCTCACACAAATCCATTTAATTTTTGTCTTTAGCAAGTTCTTTCAGAGAACTTTCCTCTGAATTCTTGACAAATGTTTATGTTGATTGAATTTGCTCTCGGAATGTGGTTAAACATACTGGGTTCTATGTCTGTGGTCTAGGAGTTATCTGGACACAGAGACTGTTTCCCTGTGACACAGTGCCAGGTTGTCATCAATGAGGACAACTGAAGTAGAAAATGCTTGTAAAACCATGTTGAACATACGGATTTTGTGATTTCGCTTTCTAAATTATCAATAGTTATTAATTTTTTGAGTATTTAAACCATACTTCTGTTTTTTTGTTGCTGCATCATCCAGAGAGATGGTTAGGGAGTGGGTATTTTTTTCAGATTTTTTTTTATGTGTCCGTTAGCAGCATTTGTACATAATTCAGTATGTTCTAGAGCTTGTCAATGATGCCAACAGACTGGGGAGCTCCTTTTGTGGTAGTATATAGTTACACAAACAGATATTTTCAGATTTGATTAAAAATCAGTTTGTGAATTTTTGCCCCAACAGCTAAATGCCTTTGCTTCTGCTAATTTTGTTGGTAATCTGTAAGTCCAGTTTGCTGAACATAAATCAACAGCAAAGATGCACATTTTGATTGCCTTTGAAGATGTTATGAGTTAAGAGTTCATGTACCCAACTGATTATTCTTTGTCTAGTTAAACCAATACAAGTGAGGGGTGGTGACCTCTGGCTGGCTGGGAGAGTTTCTCACATGGTCTTTGTTGCCAAGAAAGTGTGTGATAAACAAACCCAGCTGAGATAAACAAACCAGCTCTATTTTTGCATCTTGGCTGTGCATGTTTCATTGCATCCAAAATGACAAGTAAGCTCTGTTTGGGCTACCTTGGTTTTTCATCTTTCTAGCTAAAGTTGTAACAATTCTCATTGTAGTATTTCTGCTTCTTTTCTTTTTGTTTCTTTTAGTCACTCAAGGGAGATCTTGACACATGTTTGACCTTTACTGAGGTGGAGAAGAAATCCTTTGATTCTCAAAAAAAAAGTCTTGCAGCAGAAAATCAGCACCTAAGAGAATCTCTAGAGAAAGAAGAAAAAGCTTTGGCCTCACTTCAGGAAGAATTAAGGAAGCTAAGACAACAAATTAGAAACTTAGAAGATAAAGGTAGTAGCACTGAATCTATTGTAATAGAAAATCAGAAACTAAGGGAGCATTTGGAAGAGGAAAAGCAAAGGAACAGCAATTTTCTCAGGCAAAAGGAAACACTCTTTGCAGAGGCACAGATGCTAAGGCGAGAACTGGACAAGGAACGTCATGTTACAGAAGCTCTGAAGAAAGAACTGGAACAGTTAAGTTCTCGTCAAACACCTGAGAGTGCTGATGATGATGATGATGAGACATTAAGAGAAAATCAAGAAATAGAAACTCTGCGAGGAAGACTGGCAGAACTGGAAAAGAAGCTGAACTTTGAGCAACAACGCTCTGACTTATGGGAGAAGCTGTATGTTGAAGCAAAAGACCAGTCTGAAAAACAAGAAATTTATGAAAGTGGACAGAAGAAAGGTGCTAAAGGGCAAAGTAAGAGTAGAAAGAAGTCAAAGGAGACGTTTTTTGGTTCAGTGAAAGAAACTTTTGATGCTATGAAAAATTCCACAAAAGAGTTTGTAAGACACCATAAAGAAAAGATTAAGCAGGCTAAAGAAGCAGTGAAAGAAAACTTGAAAAAATTCTCTGATTCTGTAAAGTCTACATTCAGACACTTCAAAGATACCACAAAAAACATCTTTGATGAAAAAGAGAAGTCATCAAGTGACAAAAGATATGAGGCAAACAAGAAAGCTCGAACTTTTTACCGAGACCATAACTCCTACGAGAATCTGAAGCACATGCATTACAGGGGACCTCACATGCCCAAAGAATCCAGAAATGGAAGGAAACATCATTTTACAACATATGAAAAAGATTCAGATTCCCAGAAATGTCTCAATGATCATTTGTGTAATAGAAAACATCAGTTTGCCCTAAAGGGCTGCTCTGGTATTTTTGAATGTGCTCATCAAGAATTCCTTAGTCTCTTTAACAGAGTTTCGGATCCCATCAGGGTGGATGAATTTAACCGGCTAATGAGAAAGTATTTGCAGCAAGTTGTGCATAACTTTCATCACTGGAGAGAGCTAGAAAATTTCATCAATAAGTTTTTTCATAATGGATTGTTTATACATGACCAGATGCTGTTCACTGATTTTGTTAATGATGTCAAGGATTACCTGGAAGATATGAAGGAATACCAAAGTAATAATGAGAAGGTTTTTGAGGATTTGGATAAATATGTCTACAGACACTACTTCCATTATGATAATTCACCCCAGTATGGACCCAGGTTTGTTTCCATGTTTCCTGTACTTGATAACACAAAGAAGTGTTCTTTGTAAAGACAACCAATGTCCTTGTTGTAATGGATGGTCTTTGAGCAGGTATGTGTGTGTATGGGTATGTATGCATATACACACACACATATGCTAGAAGATTTTCTGAAGGACTTAGTGGAAATATTAGATTATGTTATATAAAGTGGATCTGTAGAACCTTTATATAAATTCTGTGTGTGTGCATAGCAAAATTTGATGTTTCTGCTGGGTTCTTTAGAAACCTGGAGCTGCCAGTAGGATTTTTTTAGACCAAACAGCTCTGATTGCCCATCTGATGGAATGAGGAACTGTCTTGGAGCATTAACTGGGGCTTCCTTGTTGTCCTTTGCTGAATGAGGTTTTTGAGTGTATTTAAGGTGTGTCTGAGTCATGTTCTGGCAGATACATGTCACTACTCTCCTGCAGAGGAGGGTAATGCTGGGTTAGTCTGTATGTCCAGAGCAGAGCTCATCACACAGCAGGCTTTAGTTCAGATCCTGCCCCTGACTAAGCTTTGTTCAGACTTGCTCACAATGGCTCTTTGTGTCAATTGTTTCCTACATTCCTTTCCTGGATCTAAAGGTGTTCTCAGGGCTTTACAAATTTACACTTGTATTATTTATCATTTCATGTACTTTACTGCAGCTCAAGTCTGAACTATTAACTACTTTGGGGTTACTAAGTATTATGTAATGTAGCTCTTGCTCCTACTGAAAGGTGAACCATGAAGGTAATAGTCCTATTGTCAGCTACCCAGTTAATGTGGTTTTGGCAAACACATAAGTTTATGATTTTATTTATAGTCCATCTTCCTAATTTATTGTCAAATGAACTTTAAGTTAATTACCTAATTTGTGAGAATTTCAGTTTGCAGAAAATCAATTCCAAATTCTTTTACTGATACTGTTATACAGAAGCTTGTGATACCAGCTGCATTTTTATTTTTAGAAAGCATTTCTTTTGTATATACCATCTTATTGATGATTTAAACAAAGAAATGCCTCCCCAATTTTTCTTACAAGGAGCTAAAGAACTAAATACTAATTTTGTTTTCAATGAACCTCAGCATGTTAAAAGCTGTACTTGAAAATGTATTTGTGTTATAAAATGCTTTTAGTAGTAATAAGCTTTTGTTTACTCCTTGCAGTCGACCTAAAAGACCTTTTACACAAACTGAAAATTCCAGACATGAAAAACAAGCTCAGAAGTACCAACACCGTAATAAAAGAGAAGGTAAATGGCATAAACATGGTCGCACTAATGGAAGACACATGGCAAATCTTGAAATAGAATTGGGGCAACTACCCTTCGATCCAAAATACTGAGTAATTTATTGTAAAAATTAAGATTAAAATTCACATGCTCTCTGGAAACTGATTGTTTTTCAACAAAGCAGCAAAATGCAAATTTTTTTCTGAATAATTTGATTTTTACACATTTTTGTTAACAGGCAGAAGTCAGGCTTTCTGATTTGCATATTCTGTACCGTTGCTTTAACTGTTCTTTGGAAGTAAAGATAGTTTGGGTGCCAGCAGTATTGTTGCAGAAACTAGGCATGCCATGACCTGTGTATGAAAAAATGCTTAATTGCATTCCATTAGTGTAGTTAAAGCTTGAGCCATGCATAATGTACCAACTACTAACTCCAGTGTTTGATATACTAACTTCATCTCATCCTTCAAAAAATAGATCAACATTGTGGTAATGTATTTGTTAGTGTTCTGTAACCTTATATTTGCTTCCTGTCTTTGGGGGGGTTCAAGAGCCTGTTGAATTGTGAAGAATTTGCTGTGCTGCATTCTAATCAGCGTGCTGATTTAAACACTTGAAATGTCTTGCATATCTGCATATTGTAGAAGAAAAATAAAAGAGACATTGTGGGTAAAAGTCTTTTATTATAAAAGAAACTCAGCATAGCTGTACAGTTCTATAAAAACGGTCCAGTCTTGTCTGTATTTTATTGCTTAAGTATTCATATGGTAATTTTGGTCTTCCCAATGATTTCTAGCATTGTAAGGTAGGTCAGGAACCCCACCCTGCCCTACTGCTACTGAAGCTGCCTTCAGGAGGAGGTTTATGTGTTTGCCGGCAGCCACTGGCTGCCTCATGGGACTCCCCCAGTTTCAGACTCAGTGCTTTCTCCTTTCTGCAGTACGAGGTGTAAGCACAGCTACTGCTATGCAAAACTGATCTCATTGGGTCTGAGCTCTAGCCTGAGCTTCAGGGATAATTCATTTCAGTTTTCCTCCTGTAGATGGAGATGTGGCTTCCAACTCGTCCTTGAGGTACATGAGTGTGAAAGAGAGTGGCTGTTTTCTCATAGCCCCTTAAAGCTAGAAATGATGATATTTCCTGCAAATGAACATACATTAATTTCCACAGTAAGAAAACACAGCTGGGAGCATAGGAATAGTGTTTCAAAGTCTCTTGACAACCATCAGTTCAACTGTCCCTGGGAAGCTTTATCCTTTATTTTAGGAAAGCCTGCTAGAAAAAGAAGCACTTATCCTGTTTGATCCTGTCTGGAGCAGATATTCACCAGCCACCATTGTTTGAGTTCATGGACTTCATTAAAGATCTGAGGGGTTAAAAGGTACTGTGACTGCAGGTGTTTTTAGTTTTCATTGTTGCTTACTTAAAAGTGCAGTTTCTGGGAATAGATGGCACATTTGTTTTAACATGACTTTGTGGCCTGTAGAATTTGCACAGAGGAGAGAGCATACATGAACATTAAATATAGAGCAGTGGAATGATATCAATAATCTTATTATGGGCTATATGGGTCAATTTTAATATAAGCTATATTTTAAAAGTTGTGAACAACAATTTTCAAATATTTTAACTATAACTCTTCTCTAATTTATTTTGTAACTTATCCTCAGAAGCACTTTGTTTCATCTTGATGTTACCATACCTGTTCTAGCACATTGAAGAGGATCAAGTGACTGGGTAATAATGTGTCATTGTAAAACTCCTTGTTCAGCCAGCCAAGTGGGTTAGAGTAAAACACATCTGCTTCATCAACGTAGCTCGCATTGCCAGTTAGGTCTGGGGGACACTGAAGGAATCTCATTTTTAGAGGACAGTGAACATGACTAGGGAGAAAAACAAAAACACATTTCATGATAAACTGACCAGAATCAGAGGTTTGAAATGACTCATCACTTCAAATGACACCTCAGTCAAAACAAATATCAGTTAATTTTTTTTCTTCAGAGTAGTGTATTTTTCCCTTCAATAGTTCATGTGAAAGCAAAGTAGAGCAAGCAGATTCAGCTCCAACTGCTGGGACTGTGCTGTTAGCAGTTAACAGAAAACACATTTATCTTAATAAAAATACCATTTGCACAACATCAGTTTCTTAAAAAGGTACTTTTCCATATCAGCTTCACTATTTATATCTGCTTTAACATTTTGTTTACTTGCCAGGATCTACTGAAAACCTTTTGCAGTGACGTTAAGTCAGTGTTGTAATGACACTTCTTCACTGCCTAGCAGCAGAAGTAAAATTAATACATTTTGATTGTAACAATTAGTGTTTAATTTTGCTAAAAATGTTATCATAATGAAGAAGTGTGACATACTTAGTGAAGTCATTGAACTTACTGCATATCTTCATACAAAGCTATTCCACAAAAATGAGTAAAGCTTAGATGCTGAATTTTATTCTGTGTTATAAGCATTTGGCTTATTTCCCCTATTCACTCCATATTAACAGTATGAAAAATCAAAACTCTTCCTGTATACATTGATATATCTCAATTTATTATGCCTTGGAAAAAAGAAATCTTGATTTCTGATTAAGAGTTTGGGTTTTAATGTAGGTCACTGTTGACACTTAATACCTGTAAAATGGGGTAGAGTGGCATGGCATCAGGATGAAGACAAAAGCTTGTGACTGCTGGGAGTGATTGCAGAGCTGCTGGATGTGACTCATAACATCCAGAGTGCCTCGCTGGTGAACCAAGCCTGTGTACAGGGCTGGGACTAAATTGGATAACAGCAGGAAACTTGCTGCAGTTTTCTTCCATGCTTTCAGGTATCTCAAAGAATATCCTATAGAAACATTTGAGTAAGTTTGGGAGATAAACAATTCACACATTTTTTAAAGTAGCCTAATACAGTGGCAATACAATTTCAAAACCAGTGCTTTGTCTCTTTAAATTTAATTTCTTGCAGTGAAAATCAGTCCATTCAGTAGTTTGGATGAATGATATATGGCAACTTACTGATGTGTTCTGATTCATACAAGTCCACATAGAGCCAGAATAAATGGTAAACTACATGTGCATGGCTGTGGTATTCTTTTTCTCCAAACTGCTAAAAACTACAGCATTATTTTTTTGGTTTTAAATTTTGAGCTTCTGGCCTTGGAAAAGCATACTCCATTTTTTTCCCATCTCAAATCGCTGCCCCTTTTCCCCATTTTGCTTGAAGGAGCTAATAATGGGAAAAGGCACACAATTGTCATGTTTTTGCAGGAATACTTTTATCCATACTAAGAATTCTTTATCTGTGCTACAGTCACTTGCTCTCCCTCATCTTTTTTTTTTTTTTTAACTAGCTGTAAGAAAAGGCTAGGCTAATTCTAAGAATCCTTTATCAAATACCTACATTGACCATTAACAGTCTTTCCTGGGGTAAAAATTATATCCAGGTAAAGGCTGCAAGACATTTGAAACCAATGCTTACCACAAAAAATCATGCAGAATGGCAGTACTGGATAGATGAACCTGAATTCCTTATGGCTCAGTGTGCTGTAATAAAACATACAGTAGTACAGCAAGAAAATTAAATGCTTCAGTTCTGTTGACAAAATGTGTTTTAGAGCACAGGGAAGAAGAGCATGTGCATGTATTAAGAAGCTTGTGGTATTGAAGCAGTTAAAAGTAAAAATCCAAATTGTCACTTTTGAAGAACATAATAATTACATTCAAATTAAGACTATTTGGTCAGTTTAAACCAAGCACTGTTAAAAATTCCTGGCTATTACAATTGAGTGGTCTGATTCTTTGACAACTAGATGTAATTTAACCAGTACTTCACCAAACTGTTTTCTGTAATAAGACACAATAAATAGTGTGGATGAAAAGCTAAGATTCAAGTGCCCATTTGTATCTAGCAAATTAACAGTCACCCCTGCTAATACAAAAATAAACATTTTCCCATGACAACTTTTTGGGCTTTTTTGGGGATTACTGCAACTCTCATGTCTTGGGAATCAAAGGGGTTCTTACAAAACTAAGGTAAAAAAAGTCCTAAAGCAAATAAAGCTACTTCCAGTTTTAAGCTGGAAAGAAGAAATTGCATTTCTGGTCTTGCTACTGTTTTGCTGTAGTCTATTACTATGATAATATAAAAGTATTCATTGCTTAGTATTTATATACTTGCTCTATTTTTTCATGTCTGAAAGTGTCTCTTCTCTTTACAGTTAATTCTGATGCTTTAGAAAAAACTTACCTTTTCTTATACTTCTGAGCTTACAGTGAGAAATACAGCCCTATGGTAGCTAAGAGCTGTGTATAAACTTGTGAATGGAGTAAGTTTTAGAGGTCTAAGAATCTTTCATCTTACTGGGGATGTATTAAAGAACCAAATGAAATGGTGTTTTCATTAACAGACATCTAGTGAACTCAGTTTTCTAACTAGTTCTATTTTTGTTTAAACACCTGCTGGGTGATTGAGTGTTGGCTTTGGGATTTTTTAAAATTTCATTTAATGATGAATTATTTTATTCTTTAAAGGTCTAATCAATTGTAAAGATACATATTGGTGACAATACAAGAAGCAGCATTATAAAAATTCTAGAACCAGTTTTATAACTGATGGCATTTCTTGGAGTGTTTGAACAGTTTCTGTAAGTTTTCTATCACTTAACCTGAGTACTATGCTGCTTTGTTCTGGAGAGGACAGGAGCTTTGCCAAGAACACAAGCAGTGAGAGGCAGCAGTTGCCCTCAGCAGAGATTACCTGTACACCAGCAGTGTCCAGAGCAGTGCCAGCAGAAGGATGCGGAACCTCCTTGGTGCCAGCGCGCAGCCGTGAACAAAGAACGGCAGATGGGGACCCAGCACAACTGGCAGTCCTTGAGTCAAGTACCAGTGCCAGGGGTGAAAGCCATAAAATGTTCCCAGATTCTGCAGCACGTTGAATTTCAAGAAGTTCAGCTGAACCAGTACCCACTGGGAGATGGGGGGAGTTAAACACAAATCCAAAGTCAAACACAACAGCTACACAGTCATCACTGGCCCTATATAATACATTTTTACTCCTATTTCAGGTTGTTTTGTTTTACTAAGACTCAGCAGGGATTTCTTATACTGAGCAATTAATCACAGAAGTGTGTAAGTTTGTAGTTTGTTGGTAACTATTGAGGACTAAGCATACTGATTTTATGTAGCAGTCCATCACTTGGAATACCTGAGAATCAGTGTTCAAGGGTTTGTGGCTTAGGATATATTTAAAGATCATAGGCTAGACACTGTCACAGAAACAAGAGAAGTCAGAGAAATCTGAAATATCCATCAATGCTAAAATACTAAACCCCAACCTTCTTCTTATAAGTCAAGTTTAAAACAGCTTACCTCACCAAAAAACACACGGTCAATTATTAAAGAGGTTCCTACTGTGACCAATCTGCAAAAATGGAAAGTTTGTTGCACTGATATTGCCTGAATTACTTTTGTATCTTCTCCAGATGTCAAAACTCTGATTCCTAGTATTTTTGAGGCTATCCATACTCATGGCCATTTTACAGTGGCCACTTGCCATCACCTGGTATCCTTGGCACAATCCCAGATTAAGCTGGAATGCTGCTCATGTCTCACCATCATGAAATCTTTCCTGGTGCTTTTTGCAGCATATACAACAGTTTGAAGGAAATGTGC